CAGTCGTATCACTCAGTTTGTGCTGCTGATGGGAGTAGCTGGACCAGGCAGCTCAAGGCAAGCGTGGAACACTGGACATTTGGAGAGGGTGGGGTGAGGCCAGGAGGTCAATGCTTTTTCCTCACTTAAATAACCACAAGAGGTCAGGAGCCACGGTGTGCTGCAGCCAGCCCAGGTGGACTCAGGCATCCACCTCTTGGATGTCTTCTGTGATATCTCAGGTCATCATTCATTCCACGCTTACCAACAGCTTACTATGTGCTGGGACTCTGGTAAGTACCAGAGCAGCAGGATGACATCGTTATCCCAACGCGGGTACCCCTGCTCGATGCCAGTTCCCTGGGCACAGGATTGCTGAGCACAGGCTTGGGGCTGAGCAGGTTATTTCCTCTTCCACAAGTATCCTGTACCCTTCTCACTCTACATGCCCGCTTGGGGCTCCCATATTGCTTAAAACAAAATGAAACAAAGAGCAAATTTGTTTTCCCTTATTCCTGAAACAACTTCATAGAATCACCTTCTCTGCCCTACTTCTTCTCACTAGCTGACTTCTTTCTCCTCGTCTTAATTCCTTGTTCAGGCCCCTTGTAAGACTGTGACATCAGTCCCCAGCGCTCCCCTGAGAGTGCCAGCCTCAGTCACCACTGACCACATCACCAGAGCCATCAGCCTTCCCGCAGACCGCCCTCCACCCTCTGACACGGTGCTGTCCGCTGGAACCTGCTGTGATGCTGGCTGTCTTCTATCCTGTGTTGCCCGGCACGGGAGCCACTAGCCACATGTGACTCTTGCACGTATGAAATCCGGCAAGTGCGACTGAGGAGCTGAAAGTTTAATTTCATTTAATTTTGATTCATTTAAATTGAAGTAGTCTAGACACACGGGTCTAGCAGCCGCTACAAGAGTTCAGCGCTGGATTTCTTCCTGGAAACCCTGTTTTTCTTAGCTTTGGTGGCACAGCATTCTTCCAGCTTTCTGTTAGCTCTTCTCTGGCTCCTCTTATGCCTCCTGCCCACTAAAAACAGCCTCCCTAAGTGTGTTCTCCTCTGCCCTTCTCTTTCTGCATGCTCTTTCTTATCCAGTGCCATCCATCTCTGGGATCTAACTCTAAGACATATGGATGTGACATCCGATACTCTCTAGCCCTCACTCCTCTTTCTGGCTTCGGACCACTATTTCCAGCCCCAGCCTGGTGCTGTCACTTGGGTGTTCTTTAGCAGTCACCTTGGAGTGACCGTGACCCTAACTGAAATCATTATCATTTCCATGTCCTCCCCACCCCTCCTCCTCCCGCTGGCTCTGCCCTTTCCTCTGACGACCGTTTTCCTTTCCTCCTTGGCATCACCAGTGACGCATCTCCCCCAGGGCTGCCGTTCACTCCCTAACTCACAGAGTCCTAAGATTCCTCTTTCATTCTCAAGGGCTCTCCCTCTTTTTATGATTATAAAAGCAGTAAATACACTTCTGAAAATTTGCTAAATTCAGAAAAACACACAGAAAGAAAAGAAAAGCAAACTTGCCTGTGATTCTAACCACCCTGGGAACCATGTTTAACCTTTTTTGGGTGGGGTGTGACTTCCCACATATAACCTCTTATAACCTCTTGCCCGGATTACTGTGGCTGTGAACCCTCAGTGTCTCCCCAGTCTAATCCATTGCTATTTCCCAAGGCATGAGTCTGATCATGTCATTCTTCTGTTCCGCTCGTAAATCTCCACAGGCACCCAGTTGTCTGCTGAATTAAATTTGTCCCCACTGTTGGGGCATCAGGCCAAGCTGGCCTCTGCTTTCCTAGCCTCCAATGGCCGCAGATGGGAGATGTTATTGACACGTTACAATAAGGAATGCCTACAAAAGCAAGAAGTCATTGTATTGGTTATGGTTGTGACTAGATACCTACCCAGCTTGGCTTTGATTAATTAAGCACTCTTGTGTCCATTCTTTTTTCTAGAAAACAAACTCTAAATTCATTACCTTTTAGATTGTGACAGACAGATTGATTGTACTGGATTTCACGTCTTTCAGAATTAGAAAAAGTATTTCTTCCATTTTAGTGACTAGATAGTTGCCATTTCCAGTTCTATGTGTATTTTCTAATTGCATACAGGGTTAAGTGTTTCCTTTCTTGTGCCTCTGGGAAGAGTTCTTACCCAGAGCTGAGAAAGTCTCACCTTTTTGCTTAAGAAGCATCATTCCTGCTGATTCTTGATACCTCAAGTCAATTCAAACTGAATTAATAAGTATTGATGGCATGCCTGGAAGCAATGGGTTCCCCCATGAGTTGAAGATGTTCTGGACATTCTGAGAATTTGGGGGTCTTCCTGGCAAAAGGGTTTGGCCCCTTCCCAAAGGCCACATTGTCTGCCCCGAGCACCCAGTGAGGTTTGCCCTGGTTGGGGGCAGTGACGCACAGCTCACCTGCTCTCTGAGCACGGGCATAGCTGTGGCCTCAGCAGCACTGGGGAGGTTTCACATGGGAGGAGGAGGAGGACTTCAGCAAGTTTTGTTTGGTGGCCTGAAATTTAATCTTGTGCTCATTGAGAATGGATCTAGCCCTTAATGAGTTCTGTCCTCAGCTCTGTCTTATTTATCTTAGAACAGTTCCCTGGCACACAGTAAGCAATTAATAAATGGCTGCTATTATTGGGATTATGATTAAACAGACGCTTCCACAAACACATTCTTTGTCTCTGTCTTTTCTCGTGCTCCAGACTGAGGTTCTCAGCTGCCCACTGGATGTCACACACATTGACACCTTTGCCCACGCCCTAGGCTCTGCCAAGCAAGCATTCCCGTCCTCCTCTCCTCTTATTAAAGTCCTACTCACACATTTAGGGCCAGGCTGATGCCTCCTCCTGGCATGAAACCTCCCTCGTTGGAGCTGGTTGCCTCTCCCTCTGTACTCTGTGTTGCTTCTTTGTACCGCCCCCGGCCCCTCACACTAAGCTAACTGTCACCCTGTAATAACTTCAGCAGTTTACATGTCCATCTCTAAATCCCTCTCTTGAAGGAGGTGGAGACTCTTCAAGACATTCATGATGCCCACTGTGGTGGCTATCACAGAACCTTGCACGTAGTTCAGTTAATCCATGTTTGTCTGATTTAAGCTGTGATAGAAATTTCAGAGCTACCAGCTCTTTCTTTTTAAATTGAAGTTTAGTTGATTTATCATGTTGGGTTAGTTTCTGGCATACAACACAGTGATTCAGGATTCAGTCATACATACATCTATATATGTATATACATATTCTTTTTCATTTTAGGTAATTATAAGATATTGAATATAGTTCCCTGTGCTATACATTAGGACCTTGTTATTTATCTGTTTTATATATAGTAGTTTATTTCTACTAATCCCAAACTCCTAATTTATCCCTCCCTCCCTTTCCCCTTTGGTAAATAAAAGTTTGTTTTCTCTGTCTGTGAGTCTCTGATAGCATATGATATTTGTCTTTCTCAGTTTGACTTACTTTGCTCAGTGTGATAATCTCTAAGTCCGTCCATGATGCTGCAAATGCATGATTTTATTCTTTTTTATGGCAGAGTAGTATTCATATATGTATATATTTTCTTTGTCTAATCATCTGCCGTTGAACATTTAGGCTGCTTCCATGTCTTGGCTGTTGTAAACTGTGCTGCTATGAACATTGGGGTGCATGTATATTTTTGAATTATAGTTTTCTCTGGATATGTGCCCTGGAGTGAGATTGCTGGATCATATGATAACTCTATTTTTAGGTTTTAAGGAATCTCTGTACTGTTTTGCATGGTAGCTGCACCAATTCACATTTCCACCACCAGTGTAGGAGGGTTCCCGTTTCTCCACACACTCTCCAGCATTCATTTTGTGCAAAGCCACCAGCTCTTTACTGAGCTTTTTCTGTAAAGATGGAGTGAGTCCCAGGCAGGCTTGGCTGCACACTCCAGAGGCGTCCTGACCGTTCAGCTGCTGGGTACCCGGCATCCGCTGTGGACTGGGGGCTCGGGGTGGCAGAGACCTCCAGGATTCATGATGATAATTCATTGAATTATTATCATTATGGCCAAAAGTTAGAGGTCCATATTTCCTTTTGGGGTCCTGTAAGCCACATATTTTCTCAAAAATGAAATAATAAAGAGGAGAGAAATGATTCTTATCCATGTAATTGGCCTTTGCTTTTGTGAAAGGGAGAGCAGAGAAGCAGCAGGATACTCAGCTTCTCAATCCTCAGTTTCCTCATCTGTCAAACAGAGAGGATAATTGTACCCACATTACAGGATCTTCTGAGGATTACATGAGTTTATACATATAAAGTATTCTGTAAATAAAGCTTTTATTATTGTTGTATATGATCAGTAAATGTTAGCAATTTTTAATTTTGTTACTGTTGATTCAGTGATGAATTTGTCCAGTAAATAATCTTTATGAGGTGTTGCCAGCACTAGACAGATACAGATCCTCAAGTTCACCTAAGTTATTTTCAGTCTGAAGTGATTCAAGGAATATTTCAAGAAATATCAATAATCTCAAACCTTTTTCTCTTAATAGCACCAAGTTTATATACATTACTTGCATAAATTTGTCGAACCTAGCCATCCCTGCCTTCCACATCTATATAACGTTGGGTTTAATTATATCACAGTTCCATCTTGATTGACCTTCACAGTTGATTGTAGGTATTAAAAAATAAGTGTGAATAAAAAGGAATAAACCTACTTCTTACTCCTCAGTGTGGCGATTCTTGGGGGCTGAAAATTGCAGTTTCTTGGCTATTAGAAGGTAACTAACCCAACAGTGCTTTTCTCTCAGTCTCACATTTCAAAGGGACACATGTCCAAAGGGCCTTCTCCTCCTTTGAGGATCTTGACATTGTCACTTTATACCCAACAGCAAAACTATGACAATACCCCCATCCCAGCTGCCAGAAGAAACACAGAGAGACGCATCGCAGAGGAAAAGGGAGAATGGCCCTTTTATGGTAACTGGCTTGGAATTATAAATATTTTTACTTCTCCCGTAGGAGATGGCTCGTGGAAGAGAGGAGACAAATACGACTTTGAAGCTAAGCAAGCGTACTCATCCCTCCAAACAATCACTCTACTGAGGACAGTGAAACCTGAGTTTGAGAAGTTTTCCATGGAGGTGAAAAGTTCTGTTGAGAAGCAAGGGCTCAATGAGGAGGATTACGTAAGTGCTTGATTGCGAGCCTAGACCTTCAGCATCCTGAAAAACAGTCTTTGAATTAAATCAGACGTGATAAAGCGTCCCATCCTGAGCCCTTCAAAGATTCCTAGCTTCAGGTCTGAATGTCACTGTCGCTTTCTGTGTGGTTTTCTTTCTGGCCAGGTTTCCCGGCTTCCCTTCTCCACCATGCCCCCCGACAGCACACCCTTCACTTACACTTTTTCAACTGCTGCAGGAAGGGAAATTGCTTTTTGTGGGTACTTGTGGTAATGCTGAGCAGATGTCTGGAGAGCTCCATCACCTATTCTGCTAGGAGTGTGCTGAGGGGGAAAGCGGATAAAGACTGCCAAAGTTTTGCATGCCTAATTTTTCCAAAGCTTGGTGGCAGAAGGTATTCTGGGTTTCAGAAGGCTCTTTCTTTTGGCAATCTGTCTTAGCGTTGTGACCAGTCTGCTTCTCTCTCTCGTGGCAGTGTGGTTGTCCCCTTTCTCTGCAAGGTGTTTCCTACTGAAGTATTCCTGAGGGCTCCACACCCTTGGTGATGTTGTTACTTGTGCATTTTCCAAGAGCAGACTGGAGTCAGAAGCTTAGGCCAGGCTTGGGATTAAGCAGGGGAACTCTCCTAAGAAGTGGCACCATAGACAACTGACCACGTCTCACGTGATGCCACTGTTTTGCTGCCTCTGGCCCACTTTTCTGTGTGGCCCTTCAAACTTCTGGGTAACTCCTGCAGATTCTTTCTCAGAGCAGGATGAGCAGGCTAGTTGGGTGGATGTGCTGTTTTCCAAACTCTTCATTCCCCTTTATCCAAAACAGAAAAGGAATATCTTCTTAATGACAGATGTAGGGCTTGGAAGTCCTTGCCCAAGGTAGATAATGACCAACTTCATAAGAGATGGTCACTTCCAAATAGGGTCTCACCCAATTTCTTTACTTGAAGTACAACAGAGTTTGGACATTAGCCTCAGACAGACTGTACTCAGAGGCTGGAGGTAGCACTTTCTAGCTATGTGATCTGGGGCCAATTACTCAGTCTCCCTCATCCAGAGTACTCCTCCCTGTTGGGAGGATTACAGACAGTCTAAGTGAAGTCTGTAGTACGATCTGGCCAAAAAGTTGGAACTCAATAAATGGTGCCTCTTTTGTACTGTTTTTATAAGATCATACACATCTTTATATAAGAATTTGCTATCAAATGATAGTCTTATGAACATATATTAATGTCTTAAATGCCATTATGCTATATATATATTATACAGACATCATTTAAAATACTTTTTGACTTTCTTAATCAGCACTGTTTAGTAAATATGTAATGTGAGCCACAAATGTAATTAAAAATTTTCTAGTAGCCACATGAAAAAAAAAGTTTAAAAATTAGGTGAAATTAATTTTAATAATATATTTTATTTCACTTAAATATAAAAATATTATTTTAACATTTAATCAATGTAGAAATTGTGAATAAGAATGTATATTTTTTCTTGTATGAAGTCTTTGAAATCCAGTGTGTATTTTACCCTTACGGAATATCTTAATTCAGGTCAAGTACTCGTAGTGATATGTGAATAGTGGCTCCCGTATTGGACAATGTGTTCTGAATCATGAAAGAAGCAGGTTTTTGTAGTAGAGACCAAGTTTATGAAAACCTATGGTAGTATTGTCATCATCCAAATCCTTTGCTTCAGGGATATGAAAGAACACAAAGGGCATTGTGATTCCTTCAGGAGTGCTGCCAGAGGTGGCCTGTGTCAGTATTGAAAAATCAAAGTCTTTTGCATAGGCCACTGTATATTTTTTTTCTAGAGTTTGTATTTTATTCTGAGATAGGAAAACCGAATATGTAAATTTCTGTGTCAATTTCTGGTACACATCACTATGTCCCAGTCATGCATATACATACATATATTTGTTTTCATATTCTTTTTCATTAAAGGTTATTACAAGATACTGAATGTAGTTCCCTGTGCTATACAGAAGAAACTTGTTTTTGTAAATCTATTTTTATATATGGTGGCTAACATTTGCAAATCTCAAACTCCCAAATTCATCGCTTTTCACCCCCTCTCCTCTGGTAACCATAAGATTATTTACTACATCTGTGAGTCTATTTCTGTTTTGTAGATGAGTTCATTAGTGTCTTCTTTTTTCCTTTTTTGAGATTCCACATATGAGTGATATCATATGGTATTTTTCTTTCTCTTTCTGTAGGCCACTGTATGTTATTTTACTTTACTAGGTTCATATTAATTTTCCAGCTTAAAAACTCAAAAATGGAGTCATTTTGTCTGATCTCCTTCCTGAGGTTGTTGAAGTTCAAGTATTTCAGTGCAGGTTGTCCAACATGATGCTACTCATTGGGCAAAGGTTGGCATTCCAGCGCACTTCTAGATGAATCTCCTTGGTCATCAGATATCCTGTGTTCAGAATATTACATCTTATTTTAATGGTAGATCAAGGAAAACCTCCCTGGAAGGTACACCTACTACGAAGATCCATAATATGTTCCAAGCCAAACACTGTTGCTTTAGAGATTATTTGTAGTCATAGACTACAATACTGCTTCTCTCTGATGGTGGGATCATTAAAATTAGTTTTATAAACAAATAAAAATGATAATGTAAAGCAGAAATTGGAGCTCATTATAATAACTTATTCCATCTTTCATAGTTATGTGTGTTTAGTTGTGTTTTTTGAGTGCCACTGCAGAGGTTTATCAGTGTGCTGAAATGGGTGGCTGCGGTGAGTGTTGTAGAAAAGGGAGATTTGGTGGAAATCTATTCTATTCTGACATTAGATTGTTAAAGTTAGCTCCAGGATGGAAAACCTATTCTATTTTGACACATCAGGTTTTAATAGGGCCCAATGTATTGTACAGTATAGCATAGTGGTTAAATGTGCACGCTTGGGGTTTCATAGACCTGGCTCTGCCTCCTGCTGTTTTTCTCTTGGGCATGTTTTTAAAACTGTGCCGTAAAACTGTGACTACAAAGTGGGGGTAATCGTTTTTAACTGACAAAGTCATTGAAAGAACTCAAGAAGTGTATTTAAATAGTATTTAATGCAATGCCAGGCACTAAGTAAATATTCAGTGGTTGGGGGGCTATGATTTCTCTTCCTTTTGTTTCTTACATTCCAGTCCAATGTAACCACTGTAACCAGTGATACTCCCGCATGTCAGTGTCCTCCCTGGTCTTCCTGCTCATCCTTCAGATAGTAACTCAGATACCGTTTTCTCAGCACGGTTTTTCCTGACACTCTGAACTATCTTATGCCCTCTGTTCCTTTCCATCCTAGCACGCCGCTCGGGTTGTAGTCACTGGGATTTTTAGGTTAACTCTGGCCTCCTCTACCAGACTGTGAATTCTGTGAGAGCAGGAACCATGTCTGTTTCTGCTCACTCTTGCATCCCTCGTACTGTATGCTTGGCACATAGGAAGCAGCCAATAAAAGTAAGCTTTTATTATGATGTTTAATTATTTTAGTTATCTAGTAGCTATTGAACCAGAGGACATCAAATTCAACCCCCTTCCTGTACGGTGGTGAAAACTGAGGCCCAGGGAGGTGAAGTGGCTTTTCCAAATGTAACCACTATATTGCAGTCAGTGCAACAGAGTTGGGTGGTGAGTGAGTCCTGTGGCTAGACCTTATCGGGTACACAAAGCCAGGAGTTCAGTTTCAGTGGGGGATGGTATTGGGGGGCAGTAATGGCTTTTTACAGTGGGAGTTCTGAAGACCATCTGAGGGGTCATCAGAAATAAAGTTAGAGGTAAAGCCCACTGGAGAGGCCCTCGTCACTGGGGCTCCCAGTGTGGCTCAGACAAGTGTCTGCCAAGTGCCTGTCTAGGCTTCTCTGGTAGCTATTTATTGGATTGCCCACATGTGCAGTGGCTCTCACTCAAGGGCGTCTTAATGGAGGTGTTTGGCCTCTGCCACACAAGTGGTTCCAAGTCTAGAGCCCTGGTATTTGGTTTTAGAATGCGCTGTGCGGTGGCCAAGCTGAGATTAGTTGCATCCCCTGACTCCTGGTTCAGTGACTCTCTTTTTCCACTACATCAGTCTGACCTTTTTAATAACAATGTGCCCCAGATGGGGGCAAACCCATGACCTGAAGATTAAGTGTCTCAGGCCCTACAAGTGAGCCTGGCAGGCAGCATAGGCAGAAGCTCTTCCTTCCTCTCCCTGCATCCTGCCTGCCCAAAGACACGCTTTCAAGATATCAGTTTCTCTTTACTCTTTCTCATCCTTGATGAAGCCTGGCTGGGACTCTGTCTCCTCTTCATCTGCAGCTATCGATTTTGCCTGCTTTCTTCTGTAGTGTAAACCATCATTTCCTAAATCATCAGATGCCTTTTATGGCATCCTCCAGGGAGCATGGCTGGGAGCTCTATCCTGGACCATGTGGTCCCATGTGGTCCCATGTGGTCCCATCTTGGGCGAGATCTTCATCACCTAAAAATACCTAAGAAGGTCTATAAATATCTATGGCCACAAGTTCTGGGAGCCCACGGGCGCTGCATTCCTGTGCCAGCACAGACGTCAGACATCTTTCTCTTCAGGATAACACACTCTGAAGCACTGACAGTACTCACACAAGTCTGGACAGTTTATCTTGTAGCAGACCAAATGTGACACAGGTGTGAAAATATCCATGTTTCTAGAGAAATGAAATCAAACACAGTGGAGTGGGCTCACTTAGTTCTTTAGCAGAGGTGCTTTCCAAATTTATGCAAATTTCCATGACCTCTTTAAGTGGATCAAAGTTTCTTGACTTAGGGTGCGTTAACCCTTTATACTTATGTACAAACTTTGTTTGTAATTTATTCACATGGATAGGGTATAACATTGTGCAAGCTTGGAAAAACCACTCCCTTGGAAGAAAATGAATACCTAAATGCTCTGATATTTCTTCATCTTATATTCTAAAACCATTAATCTTATTTCTGAGATGAAAGAGAGATTCATTTATTCATTCCTTCATTCTGGACTAGGGAGTCAGTCCA